CATCAGTGTTACTGCAGTGCTGAGAATGATCCACCACCCAAATAGTATATGATAATCATAGTCATAATGTTATGCCTGATCGGTGTAGTTAATAGATAATGAGCAAGCAACTTACTGATAACAAATAAGTTTCAAACTGATTATACTCTAAACGCTTAGATGACTTGAAAGAGACTGACCCTAGTGTCCCTCTTAACAACAGTCGAAAGTGCTTCAGCTCCTTGCGTTCTAATGGTCAACACAGTGCTCTGGTCAGTGATTGTGAGTTAAACTTTAAATCGACACAGTTCATCCTGCACTCTTAAAAAGATGGTTCTTCAAGGGTTCTTTGGTAAAGACAACACTCAAAGAACCATTTACTTAAAGGGTTTTTTGAATGGTGAAAACTTTCTTCAGATTGATGGAGAATGTATTGTATATGGTTCTATATAGAACCTTTTTGAAAATGGTTCTATATAGCACCAGAAAGACTTCTTCTATTATTACAAGCTTGACATTGTAACAATAGTGGAACCATTTTGGTGCTATATAGAACCATTTTTCCATTTTCGGGATGGCAAAAACAAATAATACATCAGCTTTGACTCTCTTTGAGCTTCGCTCACAGGACACCACGTCTAGAACTGTAGAGTTTGGCTTCCATCTGCTGGTCTGTGGTTAGAACTGCCATCAACACTGCATCTTTAGCTCCAGTACAGACCAAGAAGCACAGCACAACACACAGAATTGTACAAATCTGCCAACTTCTCTGAAACAGAGAGGCTACTGACTTTGTAGTGTAGATTTTTTTATTTTTTATTTCTACAGTGTTAAATCGGCCGCATATAACCGTAAAATAGCAGTATAACTGCTAAAATAAAGCTATAATAGTAGTCTATAGAAAGGGTACTGTTACACAGCTTGGACATGCTCTCGATAATTAATAATAATCAATAATTATTTAAATGAATTTATTATTAGACTAAGCAACCAGCTAAAAAATAAGAAAGAAAGTTTCAGGTAAACAAATAAGAAAGAAAGCCCAGGCTGAACAGGAAAAAATCAGCTCTGATGTGGTTTTGTATTGTAGAATTTTAACTATATTTAATATGTTGTGAATAAAAAACAAAACATAGCTGGCTATCGAAAGAATGAAGAAATTAATGAAGAGATAGTTAATAGGCACACAGACATTAAAAAGAAAGAGAGTTAGACATACCGATAGACGAGACATATGGACGGATGAGTGAATAAATAAGTAAATCAGTGAATAAATAGATCAGTGGATAAACACACAGACAAACAGATAAACTAAGTCTGAATGTTTCTAGACATTTGCTCCTCTCTCATTTCTTCTGAAGACAAGGGTATTAATAGGGAGTTAGTCCCTCTTTGATGTAGTAACAGCCTCTACTCTTCTAGGAGGGCTTTACACAAGATATTGGAATATTGTTGTGAGGCTCTGATTGCAATCAGCTATGAGAGCATTCATGAGGTCAAATACTGATGATGGATGATTCTGAATTCTGAATCACAAACTTCACACCAACTCATCCCAAAGATAGTGGATGGAGCTCCATCACTCTAGAGAACGCAGTTCCACTGCTCCACACCCCAATGCTGGGGGGCTTATTCCCCTCCAGCTGACACTTGACATTGGGCATGGTGACCTTAGACTGATGTGCAGCTGCTCCAGAGCATCCTATTTGATTGGTAATGTTTTGGTAATGGAGATTATTATATGTGTAATAGATGCACCTTAAAGCAACTGAATTTACTAATTAGAACAGATGTGTGGATCCTTTTGGATTCATAGTGTAAAACACGCACTGGGTTCTTTCCAGGCCACAGCTCTGTGGTGACTGTGACTACAGCCTCCACCCACCTGTACTACCCTGATTACAAGCCCCACCTATACCCACTGATCACAGCCTCCACCCACCTGTATCTCCCTGATCACTAGCTCCAACTATCAGTACTGCCCCAATCACAGCCTCCACCCACCTACTCATTGATCACTAGCTCCATGCACCTATAAACTCCATGGTCACTTGCTCCACCCACCTGTATCTCCCTGATCACTAGCTCCACCCTCCCGTACCACCCCAATCACAGGATCCACCCACATATTGCTAATTGACCATTGGCTCCACCCACCTGTGCCTCCCTGATCACTGGCTCCACCTGCCTGAATCTCTGATCTCTAGCTCCACCTACCCAAATCTCCCTGATCATTGGCTACACCCACCTTTATTTCCTTCATCACTAGCTATGCCTACCTATACCACCCCGATCACAGGCCCCACCCATCTGTATTCACATGATCACTAGCTCCGCTCACCTGTAGCTCCATGATCACTAGCTCTACCCACCTTTAATCTCCATGATCATCAGCTCCACTCACCTGTATCTCCCTGATCATTGGCTCCACTCACCTGTATCTCCCTGATCATTGGCTCCACTCACCTGTATCTCCCTGATCATTGGCTCCACCCACCTGTATCTCTCTGATGCTCTTCTCTCCGGAAGGCGCCGCCTGCCTCCTCCGCGCGTTCCGGTTCCACTGCGCCGCTCGCTCTCGCTCTCCGCCTGGCGGGGCCTTCAGTAGTTCGGCGCTTTGATCCATATCTGAGTCTGTATTAAACTTCGCCTCAGCAGTCACGCACTTAGATACATATTCGAATCTGTATTAAAGAACGTTGTTCGTGTTTGTCTATTTAGAACACGTTGTGCACGTGCAGCTCCGCGCCGCGTTCGCTCTGCAGTAGAGCCCGAGTTGTTGTTACCTGTTACCATGGAGACGCGGACGCAGCGAGAATCCGGAGGGCGGAGTGACCAATCAGAGACCTTCAGACAAACTCCTTTCACTGGATAAAGCTGCAGTTCAGACTCCTCTTCATCGGTGAGATCAGCCCACAGGAGGCTGCGCTCGATGAAACACCACTGAGGAATCACAGACTTTCTCAAAGTGAGGAGCTGTGGTGTGATTACTCACCGGCAGAGCTGCAGACCTGCTCAGCTCAGAGACTCTCCTGCTCTGTCGCACCGAATAAACCGGTTAATCAACTAGTGAGGTGAATCAGGTTTGTTTGAGAGTTAGAATCACCTGTGTAAGCTGTTCAGGACCTCCAGGAAAAGTTTTGGTCACTTCTGAGTTAGACGCAGTGTGGTGTGCAATGTGGAGTAATTCTGAGAAACAGCCACAAGGGGGCGCTGTTGGACAGCCCAATTCAGCAGCATCTCTGTTCACACACATCGCCACAGGCCTTAACGTGACGCTACAGCGGCTCCTTAAAGCCACCAGATCGCCCCGTAAAATGTAGAGTTTGTCTTATTTTTATTAGGATTTTTATTTTAATGTCACATAGTTTTTGTTTTGTGTTTTTACGGTAGCATACCCTCGCCTACCCCTTCCGTATTTTTATGCTTCATCGATGTTCAATGATGCAAATTAGAGTGTGCGTCTAGTTGCAATAAAAACAATACAGATGGTAAATAAAAGATACGTTTTTATTGGGGTAATTCATAGTATACAACGACTTAATCCTGAAAAGTGACCTCATCTATGTATAGGGGCGTGTTGATGGGGGATTCCAGGAGACCCCCCTTTCAAAACCTTCCATTGCGCCTTATTTTTCCACCCGTCTTCTGCCAAACTCCGCCCTCCTGTTGCATGATTGGCGCCAAACGCAGGAGGAGGGGCAACACTACCCAATCCTATTGCAGGGGGCGGTGCTTTATGGACATCTATTCATCTATCCGTTATCTGCCTGTCCGTCTGTCTATCCATTTTTTGATAATTAATTTGTTGTCATTCCACTGATTTTTCTAAATTTCTTGGTTGTCATGTAAGCCAAAGATTGGGTTTGGAGTGAAATGCTCCGTCCTAGAGAAGCTTACCGAGTCAGAATTGTTCATAGTGGTGGTGATAGGAACCAGACGTCTGAGGAGTTTAATGTCTCTAAAAGTTCCTCACAGAAATTCATTACATGAAATGGCTTCGAAACCGCTGCCTGATGCCTGAGACACCAACGATAAGGTTTTGGCCTAAAACATATTTTTTAATCTATCTAGGGCTGTAAGCAGGGGGTTATGAGGCAAAATGGTACCCAAAGAAAAGTTTTATCACTGTTATCATGTACAATTTAGACACATTTAGGCTCACATTTGGATAGTAAATAAGATGGTTATATCCCTGCAAACACAGTTACATTGTGACACCGTTGTGACAACCTCTTGTTTTGTTGCCCACAACGTTGAAATGTAATTCCTCAGAAAGTTGTGGCAATGTTATCGGACAACATTGTGACAACGTAGTGGCAACGTTGTCAGAACTCTGTCACAACCTTCTAGAATCCTCATAGGTTCTATTATGTAATAGAATCTATTATCTATTATGGGAATTTTGCTATGTCGCTAACAGGTCATAACACCGCACGGCAACCTTACTGAGTAATGAGGTTGTGACAACCTTGTGTAGACAACATACACAGCACCACCTTTGACAACGTTGTAGCAACGTTATAAGAAAGCAGAGGTTCGTAACACCACCACTGTAAACCCACATGGAACAGCAACAAATGTAAATACATTGAAAAATGTATAAAAATTTTTTGCGGAGTGTATTTTAGTGTTTGGAATACATTTTGAAATGAAATAATGTATTCGAGACCTCAAATCTAAAACATACATGCTCATATGTTGGTTTTCTATGGAAAGGAACCGAGTTCTGTTCCCTGCAGTGAACCATTTCACATCAAACCGCTTTTGAGTGACTGTTTACATCGCAGCGGTGAAACTGAGCAGCCATTTTGAGAAAAAATGACGGAATCCCCTTTTAAGTACTATAGATAAATATGTAGAGAGAACATGATATCAAATTCTGACTGCTGTTAAAACCGTTAAACCAGCGCCGGAGCCTGTGTACTGGTGGAGAAACACCGCCGGCCCCCCTTTCCCTCCCCGCCGTGTTCAGCCGAGCTCCGCGGCGCCCCCTGCCGGAGCCCGAATCTTCAGCAGCGAGCCAAGATGGAGGGTCTCCGCTCCCCGAGTAAAGGCACGCACCTACGGGTCGCTCTTCGATGAAAAGAACCAGGACTCTCTCCTCTCCCTGCTCTGCCTCTCTACGCCGGAGTACCAGCGCTGGACCTGTATAGAACCCGTGGCGACCAGGTGAAGCCATGAGCTCGGGAGAAGCAGACGACTCGTCTAAGGACGGAGCAGACATAGCGGCGTTCTTCAAATCCGGTAAGTCCAGTTCAGCGGAGGGGGCGGTGGTGGGGGGGGGCAGAAAAGGTGCACGAGTTCGTGTTTTTGCCCCTCTGCCTCATCATTTTTTGGAGCTTGTGAGAACAAAGCCCCGCGGGTGGGTGGAGGTGGAGGTGGAGGTGGGGGGTGTGGAGCAAACGGCTGCGGGTCTGCAGATGTGATTGCACGATTGGGCCCCAATGATGCAGCATGGCAGCCCTGTAGCAGCTGCTTAATGTGTTTTGCATTGGAAGAGGTGAACCATGCACCCTGCAGCACTGGCTCACATCCACAGTGCCCACTGTAGCTCCTCACATCACACCTAAACCAGAGTGATAGAGGGATGAAGGAGTCAGAGAGCTCTATTGTAATCTAAACGTGAGGCTGAAGGCGGGTAGCTGCCCCACATGAAGCTGATGAAGCTGGAGGTAGGTAGCTGTGTACACTATTCTACCTCAGCCGAAGATTAAGGCTCATGCCAGGCTAAAACTAGCATTTGATAGGCTATTTGCCATGTTACGCAGTATTCTGGAGCGCAGCATTGCGTCCCCTCAGCCTCATGGTTTGTGTCCTTTTTGTGTTTACATCCATCAGTGTTCACTCACTACAATACCCAGCATGCATTTAACTACTGTCATACAACCAGTGTCTAGCATAGCCCCTGATGTAGACGCTAATGAATACAGATATGATCTGTATGGACCCCAAGGCAGTTGTAGTTTTAGTTTTCAAAAAGTTCCTCCCACCTTCAGGATACATCATCAGAAGGGGGGTTTCCTAGTCTTTAAACTGAAAAATCTCACTCTGTAGTCTGTTCTGGCACCGCTGTAGGAGGTGAGTTGTCATGTTAATACTAAAAACTATGGTTACGTTTTTTGTTTTGGTTGGAGTGCCCCTTTAAGGTTGGTAGTGCTCTATTCTGCGCCTGATGAAGCTGAAGGATGGTACACACTTTTTGAAAAGGGTGCTATATAGCACTATAAAGGGTTCTCTGTTGTTACAAGCTTGACATCGTAACAGTAGAAGAACCGTTTTTGGTGCTGTATAGAACCATTTTCAAAAAGATTATATAGCTATAGAACCATCTACAGGACATTCTCCATCAATCTGAAGAACCCTTTCATGGTGCAAAGAACCCTTTAATCATACAAAGGGTTCTTTGAGTGTTCATGGCTCTATATAGAACTGTTTCCTTTCCTAAAGGTAGTACAAACGTTTTAAGAGTGTAGCTGCTCCATCCTGCACCCCCAACAACACGATTACCAGTGGTTTGTGCGTAGGTGCACGATATAGCCGTATTTCCTCTCTCCCAGCCTGGGTCCACCCATCATGCGTGACTGTTTTTGAGTGTGACGTTGGCTGATCTAGTCTCTCATGGTGGAATGACATCATCAAGATATCATGAACCACCACTTGAGATGAACAGGGTTCTGAATTTGAGTCGATATGCAGGAAAATACTAAGGCTGATCTTGACGCAGGATATTGTCAGTCAGTTGTTTGTGTGCAGTTTGAACCTGCTCTTTTTAAAGCAGTGCTGAGATTCCCTGTTTCCCGGACCACCTCTGGCGGCTGTTCTAGAGTCAGCTGTTTCTTTGCTATCTGTCAGCTGTCTCCTCGATGCCAGGTGCATTTGAGGAGGGGATGTGCTAGCAGGCCCTGTGCCCACACCCGTGTTTGACAGCAGTTGGGTCTTGCAGTTTGTGCATGTGTATGGAAAACATAGTGAAAACCCTCATGATGTGACATTATACTATTTTGCAATACAGACATCAAGCGTTTGGACTGGCCTTCATGCTTTTGTATATACTTGGGATTCAGGATTTTACCAAGCTTTTATTGTTCTGATATGCTGTTAATTTGTTTCATAGGGGAAGCATGAATTACTCTTGTCTTGTTGTATTCAATGGAAGCTGATGCAGTTCAGTTCTGGAGTCTTGAAGCTTTTAATATTGAATGGAATTGCATATAGTGATATTTAGAAATCAAAAGGATCATTTTTAGTTATGTACAGTAAGGTGCGAAAGTCAGAGACCACCATTTGTTTTTAATATCCAGTCAAAATGACCATTACAAACATATTCTTCAGAGAAAAAAGCAGAGAAAATGTGTATATATATATATATATATATATATATATAGAGAGAGAGAGAGAGAGAGAGCAAGAGAGAGCATGGCACAATATATATTATATATATTATGTAATTACAAATGTATAACATATATGTAATGTATATAAAAGAAAATCGCACAGAAGCCCCCCCCAAGTGTATATTTTTCAGTGTTTAGTGCGCCCCCTCTTTGCCTTTATTACAACTTCCTTTCTTTTCAGAGCACTTTTTCCAACAAATCTACAGGGATATTTTTCCACACCTCCAAAGTTCAGTCTTAGAAGTTGTTTGAAGTTGATTTTCTGCTTCTCACAATCCAAGTAATCCCAAACACATTCAGTGATGTTGAGGTCTGGTGGTCAGTCCAGTGTTCTGACACCAGCAGCTTCTTTGTGTTATTTTCAATTATTATTTAAAATTTTCTGTCCTTTTCTCAGTAGTGTTGTTTTGACAGCTACACATCCTTTTAGACACATAGCATCTGTTGATATTTTCAGATCTGGAGCAAGAGTGGAGCTTGATTTTCTCGAGGGTGAAAGCTTAAGTGCTGTTCATGTGATGGTGACAGTTCTGGTGGTCTGGGTCATGGTTGGTAGGAGTCCCATTTTCTCTGTCTTTTTGAGCTCCATTTTACAAACTCATACTTGTACTTAATGGCAGCTTCTACTGGAACTTAAACAGATGAAGGGTGATATCTGTATACAGTATTGTATGTTAGTTAATATTGCACAACTCCATTCTATAAAATAATACAAAAGCTGAAGGAATCTGCTCTTTTCAGTAAAAGGCTTTGCTCTGGACTATGAGTAAACACCCTGAGCTCCTGTTTGCCATTAATGTATGTGAATTAAATTCTGTTGTATTCTCAAGCAGTGTCCGTATAACTCATAGTGAATGAACTGAAAGCTAAGCTTCTTGACAGAGGAGAATCTTAAAGTGGTTGTATGCCTCTGAGATCCTATTGTCACACATTGACCCCGTGGACTTCAGTTCCCAGAACCCTCAGGAGGATCACGTGACTACGCAACTTCCCTCCAACTCGGAAAACTCAACAGACTGCATTACCCACAATACTATGGGGAATCACATGACCTCTGAGGAGATCACGCGCTCCTATCAGAGGTCGCGCTCACCTGAGTACTAAATATTTGCACCTGTGTTTTGAATCATATGACTTGGTCAGATTAGCTTTTAAGCCCGGGCTTTAGTTTAGTTCTTTGCGAGGTATTGCTTCTCCACGAACATACTGAGCGTTTTTCCCAAGTGTTATTTGCTGTACGTTGTTTGACCATTATTTCGTTCTTTGACTTTGCCTTTTGCCTTTGCCCTTTTGTACTGTTGCCTGTCTTTGCTGATCAGTGTTTTTGGACCTTTGCCTGTTTTTTGACTTCGTTTTTGCCTTGCCCCTTTTTGGACTTTGTCTGCTCAGTGACATGATCACTGCCTTGTTTATGGTTTGTCTTTTGGATTTGACCCACGCCTGCCTTCCGACCTTGCATCTGCCTAACCCTATCAAAACACCTTTTGTCCTTTTAATCCGCGAGCGTCTGATTTTTGACGAATCCTTACACCTATACTGAGTTGTAGGATCAATATTGCATGAAGCGTTGCATACAGCTCTAAAAGTACAGGAAATCATGTTATGACACAAATCAGAATATTAACTCATTTATTTTAACCCATCTGTGATAATTTAGTGATAATTTCAGGGACCCCCATTTCCAGTAGTTATGCCATAGTTGTGTTTGGGGGAAAAGCATTGATTATGGTATTGAGCTCCACTCATCATCAGTGATATCAAATAAGCAAAGCCTACTTGGGTGAAGCAATCTAGGTGAAGAAAAGGACACTGACCAAATGTGTTGGCCAGAGAAATGATTAGCCTTAAATCTCAATGTAATCAACCCAGAACTATGATTCAGAAAGGAGGCCATTGGTATCTCGATTTCTCCAGCTGGCCTCTAATTGCTCTGGGCTTGTTAAACACTCTGGCCTTGGCACTCAGGCCCTGTTCATCCCTATAGCTGCTCTAAACGCATTTTGTGTTTCCGGAGGTTTGGACGTCTCCTTTTTGCCCTACTAAGCCACTGAGCCTTACTCACTGAGTGGGACCTCTTTGGATTTAGCAGCCCACCTAATGTGCCTTTGTTCAGTTCTAGAACAGCTTGGCACCCCTGGCCAGTGTTGCCAAAACTGGCCTTTGAAGAAGAGAGCAGAAGAGGTGACCATGGCACACAAAGCAATCGAGTTCTGTTATGGTTACTAAGATTGTCCCTCTGAGGAGATGTTGATATGGTGTAACTGGTGAGAAGTATAGATTTCTCCCCTGCTGGGCAGCAAATTTATGAGAAGAATCAGGTGTACTAAAAAAGAGAGAATGTCTGTGGACCTTCAGGACTGGAGTTTGAGACTCCTGATGCAGAGCGTCTGCTTTTGGAGCAGCAGACAGCAACTTTGTCTTTGGAGATTAGGAGAATTGGTTTGCCCTGCATATCAGGGAAAAGCAGGCCACAGACTTTATGTGTGTCGTCCACATCCTCTGGCCTTAGGAGGATCAGCGATCCAGTTTATCCCCTCTCACTGACTAGTTTGGTAAGAAGACTGTTTCTGTTTTCCACAACACAAGAAGCATCAGTTGGCACTGCTAAATGTACATGGTAACGCCTGAGTTAAAGAAATGGCTCGTCCCACTTCGGAATACGACTCCCTTTCGTGGGCACAGGTCACACAAGCGTTTGGATGATTCGTTCATGATTTCTGTTGTTTTATTTATAAACACATCTATTTATAAACACATCTTCAGTCCAAAAATGCAAGATTAACACTTATCTATAAATAGAAACAACAGAGATTGCGCACATAATCCATAGCGTCCATATGCGAGCGTGAC